GGTCAGGGTAAGTACTCAGCCTGCCTGGGGAACTGTAACAGCAGAGTGGGGAGAAGCTGGGTGGAAGAAGCAATCTCCAGCAGGGCAGGGTCCTTCTGCTGACAAGAGGGTGCTGTGTGGATCAGTGCTGCTCTCAGTCTCCAGATCACCCCCAAGACATTTCCAAGGGCACTTTACAAGGGCAAGGTCAAAGCAAGTATTGCTATAAACATCAGGAGCTTTCCTGAGGCTGTGTTTTCAGTTTCCTACTCTGGGGGAATTTTTGGGAGAAATGGAAAAGGAGCTGTCATGCTTTCAGCAAGTCCCTGAGACTCCTGAGCTGTAACTTGGAGTGATCAGTAAGTCTGAGAGGAGCCTCCTGAAGTAGAGCACAGGGACTGAGAACAACTGCCTGGCTGTGCTGGTGTCTGGGAGGTGGCATGCACAAATGGGTGAGGGTTACTCTTTCCTGAGACTTCAGCTGCCTCTCCCCCTGCCTCTCTGAGCCAGTCAATCTCTGCTCTTTTCCTTGGTTCTCCACTTGTCTGTGTTACTGTTATCTTGTTCCTGCTGTCAGGCTCTCTGGGGGTGGGAGTTTCAGCTGCAGACTCACACACTGATCTTGTGGGTCCTCCCATGCAGCTGTGTCCATGGGAACAAGTGTCCCAGCTTTCCTATCATCTGAGGGGTTATGCTCAATGCTGTCTGTGGGGCTGGGGAATGAGCTGATTCTCCCTTACAGAGATGCCGTCACATCAGGTCACTTGGCTGTCACCTCTGAGTGTCCTTCCAAGCTGTCAGCTGCCCTGCAGGATGCAAACCTGTCTCATAGCAGCTTTCTGTTATCTGAAAGCCCCATGGAGAAGCACAGAGATGCTAGGACTGAGGAAATGCTCTTGGGTTGGTGAAATGAGCCCGGTGTGTCCTTGGCTAGAAGCAGGGTGCTGAGACTTTGAGAAAGGGGGAGACATTTGGTGGTCTGCAGTGGATGTCTCTGCTCTCAGCAGTGTCTGGTGGCTTTTCAGGGTAAAACATGGGAGTGTGATCACCCTCCATCTCAGAAAGGTGCAAGCACAGTGCAAGTGGGAACTAGACAGAAGGACAGAGCAGCTCCCCCTCTCTCTGCACTAAGCCACAGGCAATCCTCTTGACTTGCCTGGCCCATGCTGTTCTCCCGGAGTGCAGCAGAAATGCGGAAGGTTCCTGAGATCTAAGAAAACTCCCCAGGGGTGATGTAAGCAGCTGTAAAAAAACCCTAAAACTCTTAAGCTGCTTTTACCTTCCTGGTTCCTTAGCACTGGGAGTGCAGATGCTGACAAGCCCTTCTGCGTTAGGAGCAGTTTCAGCTGACGAAGTCAAACACCAGACTGGCCCCTGCCCGCACCGATCCCATGAACCCACTGCTGCAGAGCAGGGCTGACTTTTCAAGAGCCCATGGGCAGAGGCCCTGCTCTTCATTGCATGCTCGGCCAGCACCAAGCAGGGCTCCAGCCACAGACCTGAAGGAAGGTCTCCTAGAAAAGGAAAAGGGTCTGTGTGTGTGAGAGTGGGAGGGTCTATGGGAAATGGCTTTGATATTGCTCTGAGAATAATGCCCTGACTCTTCACTGTCTTTTTTCTACTTTGACAGCACCCCATTCCCAGAGGAAGAAAATGTCCAATGGCAGCTCCATCACCCAGTTCCTTCTCCTGGCATTTGCAGACACGCGGGAGCTGCAGCTCTTGCACTTCTGGCTCTTCCTGGGCATCTACCTGGCTGCCCTCCTGGCCAACGGCCTCATCATCACTGCCATAGCCTGTGACCACCACCTCCACACACCCATGTACTTCTTCCTCCTCAACCTCTCTGTTCTTGACCTGGGCTCCATCTCCACCACTGTCCCCAAAGCCATGGCCAACTCCCTCTGGGACACCAGGGCCATCTCCTATGCAGGATGTGCTGCACAGGTCTTTCTGTT